ATAGTATAGTATAATATATATATATACGTATATATATATATATATATATATATATATATATATATATATATATATATATATATATATATATATATATATATATATATATATATATGATCCTTTTATCTCCTGTGGAACATAGGACGTTTAGAAGTCTCCTCCATCTTATTCTATTAGGGGCAATAGCTTTTATCTCCGACCAGCTCTTCTCTATCGCTTCTATCTCTTTGCTAATCGTTCTTCTCCAGGTCATGGTAGGTCCTCCTCTTTTACGTTTTTATTTTTCTTACGGGTTGTATTCCATGGCCATACGGGTTATATCCTGTAGATCTTTTCTCAAGGTATGTCTAATCCACCTCCATTTTCATCGGATTTCTGTGTCAATTTCTTCTTGCTTGGGTACGTGTAGAAGTTCTTCATTTGTTAGTGTATTCGTATTCCAGTATAGTCTCAGGTTCTGCCGTAGACACTTATTCACGAAGATCTTTTGAGTTTCTTTGTTAACCCATTTGTCGTCTTCCAGGTTTCGCAGCCATACAGCAGTACAGATTTGACACAGACGTTAAAGAGCCGGAGCTTGTTCGTATTAGATGTTTGAGCTCCTCTATATCTTGTTGAGTCGGGAGAAGGCTTGACGAGCCTTATTTATTCTCTTGTTGATGTCGGTGTCGGTGTCTCCGTTTTTGGCTACAATGCAGTCAAAGTACACAAAGTCATTGACCTCTTCTATTATATGTCCTTCTAATTAAAACGAGTATGCTCACAATTGTTCCCATATGCATCACTTTGATTTTGTTGGTGTTAATTTTTAACCTTACTTCCGCTACGCATCTTTGCAATACTGTTAGTATTCTTATATCTTCCTTGCGCGTCGCCATACGTATGCGATAGTAGCACAATGTCGTCCGCATAATCGAGATCATTGAGCTAGCGTATCAACAGCCATTGTATCCTGTCCATCGATTCCTAGTTGCATTTCTCCATCATCATGTCCAGCATCAGGAACAGTGGTGATACACAATTCTGACGGACATCTTTGTTGATCTGGAAGTGGGCTCTGTTTTCTTTTGAAAATAAGGCTACATTCCGCATTGTTGTATAGCTCTTTTATAAGTTTTGTTATTTGGGCTGGTACTCCAAATTTCTCTAGAGCTTTCCAAATTGCCGATCTTGTTATGGTATCAAATGCTCTCTCGAAGTCAACGAATGTCATATAGAGCGGCGATCCGAATTTTGCCGATTGCTCAACGATAATGCGGAGGCTATATAGTCTATACAGCTATGTCTTGGAATTCTTGTTTATTTCTCAGCTCCTTGTTGATGTGTGCTGCCAGTCTCCATTGTAGAAGACATTCGGAAAAATTAACAAAGCTACTGAGATTCGAACTCAGGATCCTTTGTTTATGAATCATGACACTCAGTCTGCACGATCACAACAGCTTCGCTGTTATAATAATTTCCAAATCCTATTAACTATTTAAATCTTATGGTTTTTATGTTCCTACATTATTTTGTTTATTGTTAATGATTTTTCTAGGAATTTAAGTATCTATTTCCTGAAGAATAAGACTGAAACCATTAAAAAAGCTTTTAAAATATTTAAAGCTTACGAGCTGGAGAAAAGAACAGGTCGACAAATTTTAGCATTAAGATCAGATAATGGATGAGAATTCCTTAATTAACAGTTTAAATGTTTTCTTCAAAAGGAAAGAATACAACATCAGTTAACAATTCCATACACTCCACAGCAAAATGATCTTGCTGAACGAACTAAGTAAAACAGCAATCGAAAAAGGACATTATTTGATGTGAATCTTTCAAAGAAATTTTTGGCTGAAGCTTATTCAACTGCAGTGTATTTATTAAATCGTTCTCTATCCAAGATATCCATTACAATACCCGCACCTCATAGGTTTAGGGAGAAAAATCGAATTTGGAACATCTAAGGATTTTTGGCTATAAGATGCTTGCATATATTCCCAACTACGCCATAAATGGAATGAAAAATCAAAGCCTTGTCTTTTCTCGGAATATGTAGAACGCAATAAAGGTTACAAATTATATGACTTATATAGAATACAAGAGTGAGTTCAAAAGTAGAGATATAATTTTCTATGATAAGCATGCAAATACAGAAAATAGAGCAAAAAGATAAAGGAAAAAAATGATGTTACCAATTAACAATGTTTCCGAAACATCAATCAACATTAATTCTGAAATATCAGAATTGCAGGATCAAGATTCAGTGGGGGCAAAATCTGACCATCATGAAGAAAGATTTAGAATTGAAAATGAAAAAGAAAACGATAATACATATCAGAGAATAGACTGTGCAGTAACGAATAATAATGCAATAGAAATACATGAAGATGAAGAATTTTTTGATACCACGTAATGAAGAAACTTTAGGAGTTCAACGAAGCGAACGCATTCCAAAACCAAAAAGATGGTCGGATTATATCACTTTTAATGTATCATCTGTTGAGTCTTCAGGAATTGTACCAACAAATATTCAAGAGGCACTAAATAATAGACTGGAAAGATGTCATAAAAGAAGAATATAATGCATTATTACGAATTGAAACATAGGAATTCTGCACCCTGCCTAAAGACAAGAAGATATTTAAATCACGATGAATTTTTAAAATCAAATATAATCCGGAAAATGGAATTAAGCGTTTTAAGGCAAGATTAGTTGTTAAAGGCTATGAATAAGTAGCAAATACAGATTACAATGAAATTTTTTTGTCCAGTAGTTAGATTTACTACACTAGAAGCTTCTTTGCCAGAAGTTAATTATGATGATGATATAGATCACTTAGATATCATTAGCTTTCTTCAACGGAGATGTACAAGGAAAAATTTATATGTAGCAACTTGAAAACTTTATTAAGAAAATGAAGAAAAGGTCTGTAGACTCAAAAAGGCTTTATACAAATCGAGATGCGAACGCAAAAAGCTAGATCAAGTTCTCAGAGAACTGAAATTTAAGTTCAGAAGTAGATCAAAGTCTTTACATAAAAGTATTAAAGCATGGTTATCAAAAAATGAATAGTTTACAAGATTTTTTATATTTTATGTCAGAATATAACAGAATAAAAAATATCTCGTAAACTAAGGACCTTTGGACATTTATATCTTAATACTTTTATATTTAGAATAATTAAAGGAATCATATTACATAATAAAAAATAATTATATTTAAAAAAATGGCGACCATAAAAAATCTAGCAACTCTATTTAAATGATTAATTGAAGTTTGGAAAGATCATCAAAGATTCTTTCTTCAATATAGTTTTCTCAAAAACTTACAACTTTTGTCTGAAACTTTTTTTTTCCAGAATTGCATTGTTTATAAGATATTCAACTTTTAATATATCCTATATATAGGCTATAGTTAGATAAAGTAATTAAATTCATGTAACCAAATGTTTTATATTAGTGATATAGAATAAATAAATATAAAATACAAGAGTATAAATACATTTAAAACACAAATAAATATTGCAATTTAGTTATTCAAGTTAAAATGTCATTGAAGCTTATATAAGAAATTACAATGAGATTACAATTTTCACCTTTTACTATTTCTATTTCTCATACTCTATTGTTTTCCTTTATAAGTTCTTGTTGGATATAATCTGTTTAATGCTGATGAATAAACAATATTGCAACACTTATTCTCAGCAGATTTTAATCTTACTTCAAATTACCTTATCTTCATCATCATTATCTGGATTACTTGCATCAATCCTTTTATTATTTAAGTTTTGTTCTTGGTATTCTGTCACATCTTTTGCAATAATTACATCTTTATTTTTCTTGCTATTACTAGCTAAATATTCAATATGCTTGGCAGATATAGACGAAATTTTGCTATTAGATTTGAAGGAATGAATTCTTGTTGCATTTTTATATTTATTATTGTTTGGAAAGACGATCAAAGATTCTTTCTTCAAAACAGAGATATCTTGCTTTCTAGACCTTACAGCATCTGATGAAATAATGCAATTACAAGATATTTGATAAAATATTATATCTATCTAATAAAATTATATTTCAAGAATATACTCACCAATAAATTCTTTTCCAAAGTAAAGAAAATCACAACCTAATTCTATTATAACTTTTAATTCACCCATTTTGATGCCTTTATTGTCAATAGTTATACAATGAATATTACTCAAGTGTGTGGTATTTATAATATCACTGATATTCACAAAACCAAGTCCTAATCCAGTTGGAAATTTCTGATTATGATGTTTGACAAAAACTTTAAATCTCAAAGGAAAATTTTTATTTGTATTATGCCACGATATACTATAAATACCTTCAAAATTGAAGTTAATAACTGCAACAATTATATTTGTCCTATTAAATATATAATTATATATAAAAAATATTTGCATTTAAAAATTTTTTAACAAAAATATAAATGTTTACCATGACCTATTTGTTTTTTTGCACATGTTCTTATAAACTTAATTTTTTTATTAGATTTTGTATTTGTTTGTTTTTTAGATTCAACTATATTATATTGGATAAAGTATGTCAATGATAACGGTACACCATCTATATGTTTGAGAAAAAAAATATAATTTATCAAGATTAAATGTATCTTGTATGTTTGTAAACTTTAATAAAATACTTATAAAATATGCTTACATGCATTTTTAAAGTTATTTTATAAAATATAACAAAATATTACAAAAAATATACATACATTGCAAGCATGTAGATTTTGCACGTCTATAACCTGCAGGACTTAATGTAAAAGATTCAATAAAAATTCTTATACTATTTACATAATCTAAAGGACATGCCCCTGAAATATAACAAATAAATTTAATAATAGAATAAAATTTTAAAATTATTTTATTTTACAAACCTTTCAATTTAACACAAGTCTCGTTTTTACATAATGTATCTTCTTTAGATTTATTTAATTTTATAGAAAAATTCTGGTTCCTTTTAAAGCTTGTATTATCACTTTTATTTTTAGCTGTAATTGTTTTAGATGTCAAATTTACTGAATTTAAACTTGGAGATGATGCTCTCAATATATTCATAACTTTTTTTTCCCCTAAGGAAGCCATTTCCATTTCTAAAATATGTTTGTAAAGTTTTTTGTTTTCTATTAAAGAGTTAAAATATGATTCATTGCTCAATAAAGTATCATTAAGAATAAAAAAATCTTCTTTAAAAGTTTCCTTTATTAGCGCTTCTCTAAGATGCTGTGCTTTAGCAATAATCTGAGCAATTAATTTGTCTGTTGCTGATTTATTCAATTTTTTCGATTTTTGAAATTCTATTTGCTTGGTCTTAAGAACAGACTTATATGTATTATACATATCAATCTTTTCAGATTTTATAGTTTTTTTTTAATAGTATTGTCTGCATTGTTATGAGATATTATTGATATTTTCTTATTGCGTTGTAAATTATCGATGGCAAATAATGAAATATCACTATCATTCTTATATTTGTATGTTTCTAATTTCATATTTAAAACTTCTGTCAAATATGTTAATTGCAAAGAAACATGTATTTTACCTATGTCTTGGTCATTATTATTTAATATTGGAATAAAATAAGAATAAGATTTACATGAAAATATCTTAGATAATTCTCTTATATATCCTTTACCAATAACTTTATGGATATCTTCTGCAACAATCAATAATTCTATTCCATCACAATTTTTAATATAATCTTCAAAAAGTTTTGCATTAGTTTTTATAGCATATATTTCGGTTATATCCTCATTTGTTCTTGCTGTTCCCATAATATTATTTTTTGGTCTGAGAAAAAAGAAACATAATTTTTTAGAAAATTGCAAAAAATTGTAGAAAATTGCAGATGCA